CCTTCAGGGAGGCGTTGCTGGGGGTGTGACAGCTTGTCTTGGATGACAGCTCTATACTGTGCGGACCTTCCCGCCCGCCCCATCCGTCCTTTCTGGCAGCGGGATTCACCCCACTGTTGGCCCTGGGGATCAGGGAAGGCTTCCTGGAGGTGGTAGCTCCATGCTAGGAATTGAAAGAGGAGATAGCTGGGCCGAGGAGGAAGGGGCATGGGGCACAGAGGCTGAGCAGGGGGGAGGCAGAGGGGGAGCGGTGAGGGGGAAGTTGGCCTCCTCCCTGGGGGTTTGCAGGGAGGACACCTCCTTGGAGTCTCCACGTGCCCAAGCCCAGTTCCCCTCGCCTCCCAGGGTGTCTCCTCCCACCCGTCACCAGGATTGCAGGGCCATGTTGCCTCTTGGCACCGGGCACATAGTAGGTTTGCGAGGAATGCTTGTTGGGTGGGCGAGAGGCCCCAGCCGGCTTCCTCCTGCCCCCATGCCTGGCCCTGCCTGGTCCAGGCCCTGGCTTCTGCTGCCTGCTCTGCCCGCCCCGGCCCCTCCACGCCTCCCTCCCGGCCACAGCCTCGGTCAGGGCGTGGTCCAGGTCTTCGTGCCCCTCTGCCCGCCGCCTCCCGTCCCCCACCACGTCCAAGCCGTGCCTCTTGCCAGCCCTGTGACCCTTCTTGGCCCCCACCTGAGAGAGGCCCCGTGCCCCCCACTCCACCTCTTGTGGGGTCCCCCTGGCTCTGGACCACGGGGGCTTCCTCTCCTCAGGATGCGGCCGCGTGGGCAGCTCTGGCTGGGGGAGCAGCTGGCTCAGTTGAGGGACAGGCTGGGGACGGGGCGTTGCTGCCCCTTTCTGACGTTGGTCTGGAGCAGGAGGCTGGCGGACGTGAGATGCCCACTCGTGGCTGCACAGCCGCCCGGGGGCTGGGGCTCCGGGGCAGCAGGTGGCACAGGGTGGCCCCGGCCACAGCACTGTCTCCGCACTTGCTGGGAGTGCTGTGGGGCAGCCCGGGGCACATTTCCGCTGATGGGCACGGTAACCAAAGCCAAGCTGGTGGCGTCAGCCGGAGGTGGACACGGGCTGTGGCAGCACTTCCTCGGGGACCAAGGGACGGTGGTCTGCGCAGTGTATGCCACCGAGGGGCCTCGCAGCCCCCGGTTGTTTGCTGGGCCCAGCCAGGAGGCCTGGTGGACAGGCAGACCGACCACGTTTGCTCCCAGTCCTGTCCCTCCTACTGGGCCTCCGTGGGCCTCCGTGGGCCTTCCTTGCCCCTCACCCTGGCTGGACCTAACGGTCTGACTTTTTGATCTTGAGCTGAGACCCGCGCGGGGGACACTTACTCGGAGGGGCGGGGTGGGGACACAGCAGGTGCGCGTGGCCAACGGCCGGGAGGGAAAGGCCTTCCTGGAGCCTGCCCTGGCTGGCCCTGGGGTGGCCCATGCCAGGCAGGCCTGGGCTCGCCTCTTGGGGGTGGCGTCTCCGCAGCCCTCCGGGTGGCCTGGCCTGCACAGGACGTGGCCCTCCCCACCTTAGACTGAGGCTGCTGCACTCTCCTTGGGGGGTGCCTCTGCCGCCAGGCCAAGCCCAGACCATCTTCCCAGCTCCCCTCAGCCCCACCTCCACCTGTGAGGTCCCCTGTCTGGAATGCCCTCCCCCTCCCATCACCTCCTCCAGGAAGTCCTCATGAAGGCTCTCTCTTGGCATCTTCCCTCTTCTGCAGCCCTGACTGCACTTGCTGTGTCTCTGGTGCTCGGGTCTCTGTCCGTTGCCTGACAGAGCCCCCAGGGTGGGGTGAGCAGCTGGCCAGGGGCTCAGGGCTGACCAGTGGCTGAGTGGCAGATGGGCCGAGTGTGCTGCAGCCCGGCAGCCGTGGGGAAGGTCCCCAGGGCCCAAGGTCCAGCCCCCAGGGTGGGAGCGCTCTTGCCTAGCGCTTTCCAACGGGTGGTTGGCAGCATCAGCGCTGGATGCTGCCAGGGGCCCAGCCTCCTCCGTCCCCTGAGTGCCTTCTGGGTGTGGGAGCCTGGGGCTGGGGTGCCCAGGGCAGAGGAGCAGCGTGGGGGAGGGGGTGTCACTGAGTTAGTCACCCAGCGCGCAGCACGACCTCCCCACTGCTTGGGAGCTGCCGCACCCCAGCTGCTTCTGGGATCCACCCCTCCTGCCCTCCCATCTCCCTGTGCTCCGTGGCCTAAGGGAGCTGCAGCAGTGAAAACCTGACCTCTGCTCTGTCCCCATGGGGACCCCCCCAGCCTCCCTGTGAGGTTGCCATGCCTGTCGCTCCCCTGTGGCCTCCATGATCCTTCCTACACTTGGTGACAGCGTACGTCTCTTTGCAGGCTCTTTTGCTCAGCCTGTGCTGGGCGCTGCTCCATGGCCTTTGGCCTGCAGCACTGGGCTGTCCCTGACCTGCCCAGTCCGGGCTGCTTGCTCTCCCTGACCCCTGCTGCCGCTCCTGGCCAGCAGGCCCCGCTGGGAGCGGGCACAGTGGGTCTGCTGGCCTCTTGGGCCCCCCAGTGCTCGGTCCGTGCTGGCGGCCTCGGGCTCATGCTGACTGCTGCCCTGCCTCTTTCAGAACGGCACCCAGAAGTCGTGGGACTTCATGAAGACACATGACAGGTGAGAGCCCGCCCTTGCTCGGCCACTGGGGAAGCCTGGGACCGATGCCCAGGCGACCACGGGCCCAGGGGTGGAGCCCACCCCTCCCTGCCCTTGTGCTCCCTCAGGGTCTCCAAACACCCTCTCTCAGCCCGGCCTCCTGTCCCCGAGGGGTCAGGCTGAGGCCTGGAGGCTGAGGCAGGTCCTGGCTCAGGACACCTGGACCACGGGGCAGCCCTCTCGGGGCTGGGAGAGGCTTCCTGGTGCCCGGCCCCCCAGCATCTGGGGTACAGGATGGATGGCGACGTGGCTCAAGGAGTGTGGCTGGTGGGCAGCTGGCCAGCAGGGGCCAAATGTCCTGTCGGTCACCCGGCCTCAGCTACTGCCACCCTGACCTCCTGGTCCCCGGTAGTCTTGGGTCCTACCTTGGCTCTGTGTGGCCTCGGCAAGCTCTGGCCCTGCCTGGGCCTCAGCCTCCCCATCTGAGCAAGGGGCCCGACTCCCCTGGGCTGTCCGGGCGGTGGGGTGGGCATGCAGGAATGGAGGGGTGGGAGCCGGGCCCCCAGGGAGGTGAGGTGGGGGCTGCTTCATGCCGAGGCCCCTCCCGTGCGCAGCGTGGCCGTTCTCATGTTCAACTCTTCGCAGAGGAGCCTGGTGCTGGTGAAGCAGTTCCGGCCAGGTGAGACCAGCTAGGGTGGGGAGGGGGAACTGCAGGGGTACCCCCAGGGCCCTGTGGTCCTGAAGGTCTCAGTGCAGACGTGGGGAGGGGCTCCAGGGGAAACTGAGGCCCTGCAAGGGGGTCTGGCCCAGAGCTGATCACAGGAGGTGGCCACCACGTGGCTGTGACATGGTCTGCCCTCCCCGACCAGCCGTGTACGCGGGCGAAGTGGAGCGCCGCTTCCCGGGGTCCCTGGCGGCTGTGGGCCAGGACGGGCCCCGGGAACTGCAGCCGGCACTGCCGGGCTCGGCAGGGGTGACGTTCGAGCTTTGTGCCGGCCTCGTGGACCAGCCAGGGCTCTCACTGGAGGAAGTGGCTTCCAAGGAGGCCTGGGAGGAGTGTGGCTACCGCGTGGCCCCCTCTGATCTGCGACAGGTAGCCACGTACCGGTGAGTGGAGCCAGGCCTGCGGGCCTGCAGTGTGTGGGCAGGACGGGGATGGGGCAGAGCGTCCTGCTGTTGCATGGCCCAGGGAACGGGGCGGGCTGCCTGTAAGAGAGGGAGCACCCCGTCTCTGGGGGTATGTAAGCAGGACAGATTCCTCCTTGTTTTCAACATGGCACTGGGGAGGGTTGGTCAGAATGTGCCTCAGATCCTGAGCCAGGCCGGAACCCAGGGCTCTTGGGGCTCATTCTGGAGCAAGCTCAGCTCGTGCCCCCACCCTGCGGCCCCTAGCCGTGTGGGGCCAGCCTCCGGGTGGCAGCTGCTGCTGACAGATGCCTCCACTTCCTGTGGGATTAAGCACCGGGCGCTGGGGGTGGGGGTGAGTCACAGCTCCGTTCTCAGATGGTGGCTCAGGAATGAGGGAGGGGCGAGTCCTGGGCGGGGAGGGGGCTCCAGCTCTCCGGGGAAGGGGAAGGGGGAGAGGTATGGCCGCAGTCTGGGCTTCAGGACCTGCCCTCACCAAAGCTCGGATGTCCCCACCCCTGCTCACAGCCCCACGAGGCCCACCAGCTGGGGTCCCCTTCCCAGGACAGGATGTTGGGGATGTCCCCTGTCCCCTGTCCCAGAGATATTGTGATGGGGCCCCGGCCGAGGTCTGGGGGCAGGAGGAGAGTCTCACAGGGGCCCCTCCCAAGCTGAGCACCAGCCCCCCGCAGCCTTCTGCAGGGCCGGGACCCGTCTTCCCCGGGAGGAGGCCAGGGCGTCTCTGCCACCCGTCAGCCCAGCACACAGGCCGCTCGCTGCCGAGCCCGGGGCCCTCCTGCCCAGCGGCCCAGGACCTCGGGCAGGGATTTCCATGCCAAAGGGCTGGCTGTCCGGGTGTGAAGGGCGGGCCTCGGTTTTCCACAGGGTCTGTCCCGTGGCCAGCCCCCGTGCCCCAACCTCCTGGCCCGCAGTGCTGGGGGTGGGGAGGATCCGAGGGGCCTGACCTCCC